CCCGCGGCACCAGCGTTTCCTTTGCGATTTTCCTCGACTACGACCAATAAAATAATCCTTAAAAGAAATGACTGACAAAGGCTGTGGTTGCCACGCTGTGTCAGGGGGAAGAGGTTGTTGCCCGCTTTGCCAGTACCATTGGTTGGGCTGCATGATCTGTTGTACTGGTGGGTGAACTGCTTGTGTCACCGATGGTATGTGTTCCGTAGAGATCGGCTGTTCCGTTTGTTGTGGCGTGTGCTGTAGTGGTAGTGAGGGAATGTTGTGGGACGGTGTTGTGGCTGCTGCTGCCTGTGGGTGTGAGTGTGCAAAGTTGAGTGGTGGGTCCATCTCTCTCTCTCTCTCTCTCTCTCTCTCTGTCACACGTACTCCAAAGGTCAGACACGTCAGAAAGGCTGCATCACACAAGCTCCAAGCCTTACACCCCATGACGTTCTGCATTGATTTCGGATGTAGGGTCCCTAAAACATGCCGTGAAAGTATTGGGCGATTCCAAATCCCTGCTACCGACAAGCCTCCCACGTAGGAGATCTGGAAAGTCAAGCCCGCATGAGCCCCACCCCGAACCTAAACCCGCCATTGATGTCCCAGTACTTCCTTCTGCTGGGTGGGTTCTTGTTTTGTGTCCATGGCTTATGCAGCTGATGTGGGCTCCTTTTAACAAAGCGCCCGCCCAATTGTTGACCATCCCAATCTGAGTCCCAGAGACTCTGCGGCCTCGCATGCCAGGGCCTCCTTGACCAGGAGAACCTCGGCGCCCTTCACCTGAAGGGCCTTCGTCACAGCCTTGGATCACGCGTTTGCACGCAAGCCCCTCGTAGGGACCACTCAATCATTGAAATTCCTAAAAGATTCCAAGAGACTGGCCCAGGCTACAAGGCAGAAGCCTACCAGGTTGTTGGGTTTTCTATCCCTTTACAGGGCGTGTGGAACCGTGCCGTCAAATTCTCTTCACGGCCGAGGCACCCAGCACGCCCCTGTGGACGTTGGTGGCCACGTAGTCCTCAGTTGCATGTGGACAGCCCCCTTTCAGGTCCAGGCCAAAAGCCAAAAAATATTCGCAAAGGAAAGTTATGCGAACAAGATTGTTTAAACAGAGGATCAGTGGGGAAGTCCAAACCAATGACTGAACCTTAACCCTGCCCCACTCATTCCGGGTCGGGCTTCTTCAAAAGTATTGCCATTGTCTCGTGCAGCTTCTCTACAAGTCCGGACAGAGTACTTACGGAATACTTGCGATCTTCCACACATCTTTCTGGGACAAGAACAACCCCTTCTCCCTCCTTGCTGCTCGGAGGTGCTTTCTCCGGCTTCTCCGGCTTCTCCTGCTTCTCCGGCTGGTCGGACGAGTCATCGTGGCCAGCCGAGATGACAGGCCTTGAAACACGAACCTCGGAAAGCTTACAGTTCGCTCCTCAGTCAGTCGTGCTCGGTCCTCTGGATAGCTCCTTACAGAGCTTGCAGCCTTACGGATGCAGAACCCTCGTTGTCGCCGATCACCACTTATCGCTTCAGTGAGTTCAAGACATGTTTCCCGCTTACGGCGACAGCGTAATTGAAGGACAAGCAGCACAAAAGAGGCCATGGGGCAGACAGAACGTCATGCCCAGCAAAAACGAGTCCTGCATTTGCAGGATAGGGTGAAGATCTCGGGGTTCAAAGCAGGGATATTACGTAGAATAAGTAGGAAACCCTGCCAAAAAGAGGGTTTGGGCTGAAGACCTCAGGGCTCAGGGCAGGGATATGAGGTTCGGCATTTCACTAGACCATGACCTTCATCGGGCCGCTGAGTTCACCTTTGAGCGCGAGCGAATTCACAGAAAAGGTGCAAGAGATTCATTCGGAACCGTTCCTTTCCCCTGGTCATCCATGATGGTAAAGATAATGTCGACCGTGTAGACCTCGAGAGCCACTCAAGCCCAAAACCCAGGCTGCACGCTGCATAGTCTGAGAATCAAGTCTTAGGGCCTAGTGACCTAGTGCTGGTCCAAGGAGCCCCGAAGACACCCCTGACGAGGTAGAGCCCGCCATGTGCGGCACCAAGTAAGGTGAGTTGGTCGTCCCAGGTTGTAGCAATGCAAGATATGCAAGGCGCAGCCAAGATCTGATGGCCTCGAAAGTGCCAGTAACCCAGAAATCTGCAGTCCTTTCGGGCAGAAAGCCGTGCCGCACAGCACTGCAGTCCACGCTCATCCTTGAGTGGGTGGGCCGAAAGGGGTTGAAAAGGCTTGAAGACCAGGCCACTCAAGCCATGGTAGCAGCGACCACACTCCGGGATCCCTTCCCTTCCCGAAGCACCAGGGAACTCTTCGGTCATGGTCAGGTTGCTGCCTTAACCTTCGGAGGCGCTTACCCTTGCGTCGCTTGCGTTGCTTGCGTCGCTGGGGAGCTGCGCTCCATGGCCTTGGCGAGGTCAAGCCATGTGCGGCACCAAGTCCCAGGAAGCGGGCTGCAAAGGCGAGGGACGCCTCGTCCGAGGTTGAGTGGTTTGGGGGTTTAGGGCTTCAGGGCTTTGGGTTGAACGCCAGGCCGCACTGCAGCAACCAGAGAAGACGCAGCGCAGGTGCGAAGCCGGCAAAGCTAAGGCAAAGCTAAGGTTTCATGCGTATGGCCCCAATGTTCCTTGGTCCTTCTTTATGGTGGGCTAGAAAAAGGCTTAACTGAGGCCTCAAGGTTTCTGCTTGCTCCTGTTGGGCGGCAAATTTGCAAGGAGTTGCGACCTCCAAGGCGCGGCGACGAAAACGCGAAGAAGGCCGCATCGTGCACGCTTGCATGACGCGGGCCATTCAGCAGTGGAGGGCTGGCCGAGCATGCAACTCGGGGTTCACTTGATTGTCGCCGCGCTGGGGTGTAGTGTCGGATGCAGAACTTCTTAGGGTTTTGGGTCCGGGGTCCTGTTAGAGACGGCAATGGCGACGGCAACTGCGGGACAGGGGACTGATTCCCATGTGCAAGCTTATCCACGCACCGCTGGCTCCTGATATTTGGATCTCTTAGGTGCGTCCGAGGAGCCGGACCAAAGCCATGCGCATAAACCAACTCGCCCACAAGCCCAACTTCACGTGAGGAGCAAAGGCCCTGAGGAAGACCTTGGACGAGCCTGGGGGGGCGCACAACCTGCCACCAGGCTTGATAGAAAAGATCTGCAAGTGGCAGCCGGATCCTGTCTATGTTTGCAGCAGAGGAGTCGCGGCCGTTTCCCCTGCAAGTTTGCAGCAAAGGTCATCAACATGTTGGCAACTGCACATGACACACAGACTCCAAGTCTCCAGGTAAGAAGTGTTCCTCAGTTGAACTGACGTGGAGCTTGTGGGACACCATTCACATTGGTCTTGCGGTCGTCGGTACCTGAGAAGATCTGAGCTCAGGCTCAGCGAGTCACGAACGCAACGCGGGCGAGAAGCGAAACACGGCTTCCTGGCACCAGGCAAAGGCTGAGATTCACCTGTGAATTCCAGTAGCAGCTGCCACAATGACAGCCTAGTTCGGAAGGTCAGATTCTTCAACAGGCTCTCAACACCAAGCCTGGCCGGGCGCAGCGGTGGAAGCGGTGGAGGTGGACTCAGGACTCAGATGGACCCCGTCAGGCTGGCAGCCTGGTGCGCCAGGTGCGCCAGGTGCGCGCTGCGCGCCATCCACGTGCACGGAGAGGCTCCCGGTGCCGCTGACATGTCACGCGCAGCCAAAATCTGCGACCTGAAGCCATGGCCTATAAAGCGCCGCAACCAAGAAATCTGCACATATTCTTTCGGGCATGTCCAGAAGGGCAAAATGTGGCAGACTCCAGCACGAAGAGCCCACACCAAATTGACCGTTGGCTTGTAGCTGGGGGATTTCTCGCGGCTTGGTGGTGGAGGAGAGCGGCGCCAGAGGCGGCAAAAACTTGACTGCAGGGCGCCTGAAAATGATCTCAGTACTTCCAATCTGATGCTTGGCGTTTTCTACCTCCCACATGCAGCTCTGCGACAAACTTGACCTGCTACAGGCGTCTTAAAGTGGCCAAGCCAAGCATCTGCTACATGGGTGCAAACGGCGCAGATGCGACAGCGATGCAGCCGCAAGTCGCCAAAAGGGTCGCCTGCCTACAGGGCACACGCGCTGCATACTCGAGGGTACCAGT